GAGCTTCACCTTCTGCTCCCTTCCATTCACTCATCCAATAAATATTTCTTGGAACACCTGTTATGTCCCAAGTACTGTGCTAGATGCTGGGGATGAATAAATACAATGCATTCTCTGCCTTTATGGTGCTTACTCTCTGGGGATGGATGCAGACATGTAAGGAAGACTGGTTAAGTCCAACTATTCCCTGTACTGTGAGAAAACCCAAACTAAGCCCAGCTTTTGAGCAATCCCAGGCCAGACATGGGACATGTGAGGGAAGAAGGCTCCAGATGATAGCAGCTACCAGCAAATTGCATCACACCCAGAGATCTGAGGCTCAGGCCCCTAGACACAGTAGAGCAGAGATAAGCTATTTCCATTGGTTATGTCCAAATTCATGACCCAAACACCCACAAATCTATACCCTTACTTGTTACTCTCTCCATCCAGAACACACCTCCAATAAGATCTTTCTTATTCCTTGACTCATTTATGCTTTCTTTTCTCCAGAAAGCATTCCCTAAACCCCTTTCTCTGGGCTGCTTTAGTGTGCCTCTTCTTTAGCATTTTATAGAAATTACTTACCTTTGTTCACCCGGAAATTATGTGTATACACCAGCCTGGCACAAAGACACTGAACAGATGCTTATTAGACTCCACTGAGCTGGCCCCAGGTAAATGTTTGGACGTGTGTCTTTAGCGCCCTCTGCCTTCCTCATAGCACCCTTCCACACCACCCTTCAAGGATCCCTTGTCACAATTCACTTTTAGTATCACTCATCAGTGATATTGAAAAGTGACATTAGCTTAGACCCGTGGTCGGCAAACTGCGGCTCGCGAGCCACATGCGGCTCTTTGGCCCCTTGATTGTGGCTCTTCCTAAGCCTTAGGAGTACCCTAATTAAGTTAATAACAATGTACCTACCTATATAGTTTAAGTTTAAAAAATTTGGCTCTCAAAAGAAATTTCAATCGTTGTACTGTTGATATTTGGCTCTGTTGACTAATGAGTTTGCCGACCACTGGGTTAGGCAGACTACTAAAGGGTCTTGTGTGTCTGTATGGATGCTGATAAGCCAAGTGAGCTCAGCTATCTGCAGTACAGAGTCTGCTGGGGGGAGACAGGATCACACAGGAGAAAGAGTCCTCTCCTGCTGTTATTTCCTAAAAGGTAAGCTGAGGATTGATCAATTATTCTGCAAATGCCAGAATGCAAAAGAAGGCTATTAACACACCAAATACAAAAAAGCAAAACTCAAGGAAGAATGCCAGTGGAATTATATCACATAGATACAAATTACAATAGAAACTGAAAATGAAATACCCTCACTCTGCATCTGTAAACCCGTAACTGACTTCTACCATGCAGATGACTTCACTAGTCAAGAAAACAAAGGAGCCCTAACCGGTTTGGCTCAATGGATAGAGCATCGGCCTGCGGACTGAAAGGTCCCAGGTTCGATTCCGGTCAAGGGCATGTACCTTGGTTGCAGGCACATCCCCAGTAGGGAGTGTGCAGAAGGCAGCTGATCGATGTTTCTCTCTCATTGATGTTTCTAACTCTCTATCCCTCTCCCTTCCCCATATAAAAAAAAAAAAAAAATAAAAAAAAAAAAATGAAAAAAAAAAAAAAGAAAAGAAAAGAAAGGAAAAAAGTGAAGTAGAAGCCAAAAACAAACCAAGAGGCTCTTAACCATCTTCTCTCCTGGCTTATATTCAGGTAGCAGTTACTATCTGAATACAGTATCTGAACATTAAGTTTGGAATATTTGCATACTTTTCAATGGCATAAGAAGTAGGCCCTAATTTGTATCACTCCACAAGTTCAATGATGTCTAAGAGTGACTTATGTTTCCTTTCTCCCCATCTTTTCCAGCTCATTTGACAATTTGCTGATATCCAACAAAGACATAAACAGTTAGTACATAGTACTTGGGAACCAAGGTCTTACCTTTCTTTTATATATATAAAAGGCTAATATGCTAAGTGTCCGACCGTCCAACTGGTCTATGACGTTCACTGACCACCAGTGGGGCAGACGCTCAACACAGGAGCTGCCGTGATACACACTGGCCATTGACAGAGAAACGGCACTGTAGACCTGGCATCCACAGAGCAACACTCGGCTTCCCCCAAGTGGAACACAGGCCCCACCACCCTGGAGTGACACCCCACCAAATCGCAGCTGACACTGCCGAGACCCCATGGTGCAAAATGTGGCCCACAGCCCAGCTGTGGGCGCCGGGTAATGACATCACGTAGCAACGCCCGCCTTCCTCTCCCTAGCGACTAGCTTCCCTGGAGTTTCT